GGGCTGGGTGAGCGGAGACCCCACATAGAGCCAGCGGCAGCAGGGCTGGGGTTCCCCGCCCCATGCCCAAGCCCCTCCACGGCACCCTCCCTGCCCCGCAGGCTGAGCTGCGGGCCAACCTGGAAAGCTCTGGGGTCGTTTCCCCACTGGGAGCCTCACCTTGATGCCCTCGATCCTGAAGCCAAGGGTGGCTGTGGAGCTGATGGTTTCCCTCCACTGCATGTAGCGCGGCTTGGTCACGGCCCGCTGCACCCGTTCCTCCTCAGTGGGGGCCTCAGGGTCAACCTCGATCATCTTCTGGTACATGTCCTTCCGCAGGCTGGGCTTCTTCCGGGCCTTGGTGAGCTCCTCTTCCAGGTATGTCCTGTGGGGAAGGGACGTGAGGACCAGGGCTGCCTGGCCTAGGACCTGAGTTGATCTGCAGTCTCCAGACGAACTGAGTGCCTGGATGGAGACCCAGGTGGAGGGGAGGGGAGGGGAGGGGAGGGCAGCCCCAGGGTGGGTCAGACGCCTTCTGTGCTCCTGCCCCTATCTCCCTGGTCAGGCGGACTCCCCTCATACGTCTTGGGCTCTTTCTGAAGGGCAAGCCAGAAGGTGGCTCTAATGGGGCCACAGCCCTGTGGGGAGAAGCAGCTCGGGGCTGCCCCCTTCCTGAGGCCAGACAACCTGAGAGAAAGCAGTCCCTGAACTTCGTGCCTCCTGCCCTGCACACCATGCACGCTGGTGGGAGGCTGGCTGAACTGTGGGGACCAAGACACTGGGGAAGGAACAAGGGCCCAGATGCTCGGGCCTTGAGTCCCCTGAGGCTGCATGTCATTGTTTCTGGTCTGTGGGCATCTGCTCTCTGCTCCAGAGCACCCCTAAGCTTCTACTGCCACCTCCCTGGTCTCTCCCTGAGAGGCTGCTGTCCCCGAGCCACCGGGGAAGCTGAAATCAGCAGGGCCGTTGCAGGATGGGGAAGTGGTCTCCCCACTGCCCTGCGTGGGCGGGAGCTGCCCTTGGAGGCTGCCTCCTCTCCTCTCTGGCCTCCCACACTTCCTGCCTGTTCCCCAGGCCTTGTTCCAACACCGCCCACCACCCTTCTCCCATCTGGTAGGGCCTAGAATGATCTGAGCAAAAACCTGTACCTCATAATAGTAGGCGTTCAGAAATCCCTATTATCAATGCCATTTGCACTGACAAGGAAAAGGGAAGAAAGAAACCAAATCGCAGGGTGTGACCTGGGGCTGGTGGTGTAGGACCTTTTGGGCGATGAGGACCTTGGGTGGAGGTTGTTAACTTTTGGTTGGGTACTTGCACACTTGCAAAAGTATGCACATTTACACACACACAATCACTGTGTGTGCAGAGGCAGCTCAGTGACCGGGCTGTCCGTGTATCCGTGTGTGGTAGGGCCAGGGCTCCATGCTCAGTGCTCCTGTGAGTGCTCACAGGCCTGCATGGGGACGGAGTGGCTGCACAGGGCCCTCAACAACTCCCTGAACAGGAAGCTGACTTCAGTCAAATCCCTGTCCACAGGGGTCTTTCTCCAAAAATGACACCCGCCAGCTCACCCTGGGCAGAGCCGTCAGCAACCCTGGAAGAAGGGACTGTGTGGTGGGCCAAGGGTCCATGGGGAGGCCATCCACAGCACAAGACCCCGGTCCAGATGATCACCAACTCTCTGTGGGATCACAAACCCAGGAACACCCCGGGGCATGGCACAGGCCTGCATGCCCTCACGCTTCCCCACGCCTCTGCCAGAAGGACAGGCCCATGGCTCCTGAAGTCAGCCGCACAGGCTGCGGTGCAGTTGTGCAGACCTGGAGCAAGTCACTGCTGTCTGGCTGGGTGGCCCTGGTGACACCCAGGGTGGGGTGTCAGAGTCCACTCAAAACCGAGTGCAACCTGCCTCCTAGGCAGCTGTGGGAATGTGATGAAAGCAGCACCCAGAGCACACAGGTGTCCTCAGGACCCATGTGCAGGGAGGTCTGGCATGGTGGCACGGGCTTCGGGACGCTCCCTCTTCCTCTTAAGTCCTTCTCTC